TAATTATAACGGCGCAAACTTAGACTAATATTCTTATAGACTTATAAAATCTTTTTTTTTTAAGATCTTTACGACCGATAAGATATAAAAAACTAATTATAATTTACTTTTCTTTTTAATTATATACTTTATCACTTTACTTTTTTTAAATTATGCTTCGAATAAAAAAGATCGCTAAGCGAATTGCACGTCTTAACGACTTAAACTCTTTTAAATCCGACCGCGATAATCTTTTTCTTTTCGAAATCAAGACCGATAAAAAGCTTCGCATTCGTATTAAAGCTCGTACGAGAATAATTAAAGCTAATAGCTTAGCATTCGTTAAAAAAGCTCGAAAAAACGCTTGCTTTCGGAAATATAATTTATAATAAAAAAAACGAAGACTTTAGTTTTTGCTTTACGACTTCTTTTTATAAAGCTTTTTTATCGATGCCGACGAAGTCGACAACGTTATTAAGCTAGATTAATAAATGATCTCGGACTTAAGAAAATTACAATTAAATGCTATTACCGACGAGATAACGAGTTACTTAACTTTGCTAACGATGAATTTCGAGTATTATCAATTATATTACTTAACAAATAAAACTAGCACTTTATATTAGATTCTTTTTTCTCGATCATTTTCTTATATCGATTGTAAAAAGCAAGCTAATAATTATATTAAGATTAAAAATAATTATACTTTTTTTCAATTCGCTAAACTGCTTACGAAATGTAATAATAAACCGGCTACTTTTCGTTTCGGCTAGTTTATTATAAAAACGGAAAGATAAGTTAGTAATCAGCCGAAAAAAGAAGGCTTATAACCGAACGATTACGCTTAAGCAGCTTAACAATAAAAAAACGGCAAGAAGTTTAATCTCGCGATTTATGATTGCAATTACTTTAATACCGATCTTAACGAAGTTTATAAATCCGCGCTTTTTTTTTTATAAAAAGAATTTATTAAAATATATCTTAGCTAATAAAAAGGCTTTAATAAAGAAGATCTTTAGATTTTCGGTTTAATTAACGGTAATCTAAACAATTAATGCGTGACTTACACCGCTATTTAATTACGTAATACGTTAAGCAATAAAAATTAAAAAAACTAACTATTATCGAAAGACGAGCTTAAATAAAAAAAAGTAAAAAAAATTAATTAGTTTAACTTAAAACGGAAAATATAAACAAAAGCTGCTTTAATCTTACGCTAAAAATCTTTGTCGGAAGTTAAGACTCGATCTTTTTAAGCTTTATTACGCAGATCTTTTATTTCTCGAATAAAAAACAACGTTGAAAATTCGATAAGTATTACGCAGCACTCTTTTCTATCAGTTAATAATACTGCTAATCACCTTTCGGATCAATTAGCAAAAGAAGAAGATAGTTCACTTAAAGAAAGAAAGCTCTTTTAAGTGCAATTAAGCGAAAAAACGAAAACTAAAGATTAAGATAATCTTCTTTTTTTAAAAACAAGCGAGCAATTAAATTAATCTTTTAGTTTTTTTCTTTATAATCAGGTTTTTCGGCCTTTGCTGTTTTTCTTTATGAAATACTTTTATGTTTTCTTTTGTTTTTTCTTTTCGGATCCACTTTCAATAAGAGCTTTATTTATAAACTTTAGTAAAAGTCTTTTTCATTTAAATAAGTCTTAAATAAAAGTGTCGGATGTGATCAAGTAATAGACTTATTACGTATCAAGACCTTTTTAGATGTATAAGTAAAGGGCTACTCCTTAAGTTCATCAGACAATAATTAAGAATCTTTTTACTTATCTTCTTCCTTGTATTACCGTTCAACACTTTTACCAAGAATAACCTTTCGTATAAAGTATTTGCTTTGCTCGACTCAAAAGCTAATGAATACGCGCTAATTGATTTAGCGCTACTTAAATCACTTTCTTTCTTTTTCAAACCTTTAATTCAACCTTTCTCGGCTTTATTTCTTATCAAATTATATAATAAAGCTCGTAAAGCTATTATCTTACATTTTGCATTTCTTAACCTTACGATTAATAAGCGCGTTTAATCTTTTACTTTTTTTCTTATTATTAACTTTAAAAATCATAGCGTAATCTTCGAAAGAGCATAGCTAGCTAAGCATTAAATTCTTTTTAATTACGCTCGCCGCAAACTTTATTAGCTTCGTTTTAACTCTTCGACCGCTACTTACGCTAAACTTATAAAAATTATATACTTTAATTAGCGTAAAGTAAACGCTCGTTATTAATACGACGCTAATAAACGTGATCGAGCTTTAAACCGCTTTTAAAAAGCTTACGACGTTAATTCACTTATAAATTATAATTCACGAGTAAATTAAGCAGCAACGATAATCGCAAAATCACCTTTTTCTTTTTAAAATCGTCTTCTTTCCGCTTTTTTTTTTAAAGTCGTTAAACTTTTTTTTTATTTACCTTTTCGTAAAGCCGTTACTCTTTCGCTTTACGAAAAACACTTTTTCTAAAGATTACGCTAAATTAATATCTTAAATAAACTATAAGTTTATATTAATCGATATCGCTTTTATAAAACCTTTTTTACTCGTTAAACGCTTTCGTTAAATATTTAAGCATAAAATTAATAGAAACTTTAAAATTAACGGCGTTTTCGAACACGCTTTTTATATAATCGCTCGTTAAAAAGACGTAGAATTGTTTTTTACGTCTTTTTACGAACTCGATTACTTGATCTTCGAGCGTTAAACGATTGCTTTTACTTAAGCTGATTATTAAGCAACGCTAATACGCTTTATTAACGGCTTTATTTTTGCTATTAACTTTGCAGCGGAATTATTAAAGCTTATTAACGACTTTTTTATTTCTTTCGAGTACTTCGATTACGTATACGTGTTTTTTAAAGCCGTTAATAACGTATTAGCATTATATAAGCTTTACGATTACAAAATCGAGCTTTTCGAAAGAAAAGAAAAAGCGCTTCGATATTTATTATTATATAAAATATCGATCTTTAAGTTAAAGCTTATTAAAGCTTACTTTATCGACAATTTTAATAAAGGTTTTATCGAACTTTTAATAGCGCTATTCGCAGCTTTAATCCTTTTTGCTAAAAAGCAAAACGGTTTTTTTCGCTTTTGTATTGACTTCCGCGCGCTAAACAACTTTACTCGTAAAAATCGATATTTTCTTTTTTTAATCGATAAGACTTTCGTACGTTTTTTAAAAGCTAAAATCTTTACAAAACTCGATATTTAGCAAGCCTTTTATAAAATACGAATAGACTTAGCTTTCGAAAAGCTTATAACATTTAAAACACACTACGGTACTTATAAAAGCAAGGTTCTTTTATTTAAATTAATTAATAGACCCGCTATTTATTAACGCTATATAAATGACCTTTTTTTCGACTTTTTTAACATCTTTTGTATAGCATATTTAAACGATATCTTAATTTATTCTTTCGACTTTTTAAAGCACGCTTATTACGTCCGCTAAGTTCTTTAACGATTCGACGACGCTAGCTTTTAAGTTAATATTAAAAAGTGCGAATTCAATATTATTAAAGTAAAATACTTAAGCTTTATTATCTTTACCGAAAGCTTAAAAGTAAATCCGAATAAAACTTTAATAATAAAGTATTAAGCGCTTTTTATAACCGTTAAAAGCGTCTAAAGCTTCTTTAGATTTTATAACTTCTATCGCCGATTCATTCGAGATTATAACGTAATCGTAAAGCTTTTAATATACTTAATTAAAGTTAACGTTTCTTTTTTATTCAATTCTTAATATTAAAAAAGCTTCGACTTTTTAAAGCTCGCTTTAATTACTGCGCTAATCTTATAGCATTATAACTAAAACCTTTTTTATATATTAAAGACTAACGCTTTCGACGGCGTAATCGCTTTAATCTTTTCTTAAAAGCATAATTCCGATTAACTATTAATCGCTTATTATTTTAAAACCATAGCTTTCGTTAAGCTTAATTACGTCGTTTACGATAAAAAAAATGCTAGCTATTATACGCTCTTTTAATAACTTCCGCGCCGAACTCGCCGGCTTTCTTTATTAAATTCAAGTAATCACCGATTATAAAGCTTTAAAGTATTTTATAACCTCTAAGACTTTTAACGCTCGTTAAGCACGTTAAATAAAGCTCTTTTTTAATTACAACTTTATTATTACGTACAAACTAAATAAAGACAACCTTTTAGCTAACGCGCTAATACGTCGTACTAAAGAGCTTTCTTTTTAAAACAGCTTTAAGCGTATTTAACGCTTGCAAACGTTATTCCGCGCCGACAACGTTAATTTACGACTCTTAATTGAAAAGCTACGCTAATTTATGCTTTCGAAAACCGCCGTTATTATCGAAAAGATCGCGGAGCTTTTATTAATATTCCGAGTTATTAATCAAATCTTAAAAGCTAATCGGACCGCTTTTAATTTCATAGCACTTTAAATTTAAGCTTTTAAAGCTAAGTCTTTACTCGTGAACTACGGTTCACGAATCAAACTCATTATAAAAGGCGACTTGCTACTTTATAACGGCCGCTTATTAGTTCTTGACGTTTAAAACTTGCGCTCGTTATTCGTTCGAAAAGTTTACGACTAAGTATTTACGGTATACTTTAACTCTCGTAAAACTTATAAACTCTTTATAATATAATACTATTAGCACGGTATAGCTAGATTCGTTAATTAATACTACCGTAACTGCTACGCTTGCAAACGAGCTTTAATGCTTCGCGATAAAAAACTTAATTTGCTTTTGTGACGACCTTAAGCGATTACCTGAAGGAACTCACAGGAGCGCGGGGGTTCACATAAGAGCTTAAGAGAATCTTAAAGTAATGACTTAGAATCAACAACTATCGAGTATAAAGGTCGAAGGTAGCTAAGGTCTATATACACGAAAGTAGAAGCGCTAAGGACTCGTGAACCATGGTTTATAAGTCAAAAGCGGAGAATAAAGGAATACGAAGAATACGAAGGGAAAAAGGAAGGAAGTAGCTTAGCGCATGTAAGGTGCGTCCAAGAGACTTAGCGTGTCGTTATACTACTTTCTCGTTTGAAAAAAGCTCGTCCTCGAGCGTTTATCTATTGCTTTATCACTACTCAAGTGATCGTAGTCATTAACACCGTTCGAATAAGCTTTGATCCAGTCGAAGAGCTTCGCGAGAAGGCCGGGGAGCTCTTTGTGTTTTAAGTGGAAGTCACGTACTTTAAAAGGAGCGTACATGAAGTCGAAGGCGAGGTACTAAGTAAAGTTAATATCGCGGCCGAGCTAAGAAGCGCGGTACTCGAGGTGCTTTTTGGTTTAGCGCACGGCTAAGATGTTCTTTACTTCGTACTTAAGTTCGTTAGTAATATTAATCGGGTTAAGTTCAAGAATGATTTGCTCGAGGGTAAGGTTATTAAGAGCTTTTCGTAGCCGTCCGAGGTGAAAGATTAAGTGAACCTTTATTGACTCGGGGAGCTTAAGTTTAAAGCTGTTATAAACGTTATCAGTAACTTCGAACGGTCCGTTCGTAAGGTTATCGAGCTTCTTTGATAGTCGAGAAGTAAAGAACGGGCGTATATTTAACTAAACTTTATCATTAACGTCGAAGTCAACCGGGCGCTTTGATTTATTAGCTTGTTTGGCTATGCGGTCTTAAGCGCGCTAGAGGTGCTCTTTAGCGAGGTTCCAAGCTCCGAAGTGGCGGTTAGCGTAAGCGCGAGCTTCGTTTTGATTGAGCTTGCGAAAAGGGGTTTGGTCGTCAGGTCGTTTTAAGCTTTAATTCTAGGTGGTCCGAAGAGCGTAGCCGTGAATTACTTTAAAGGGGGAGAGGCCGTCGAAAGAGTCGTAAGAGAGCGTCAATTAAGCGAAGTCCATTATAAAGAGAAACTCGTTCTAATCGTCTTAGTAATAGCTTACGAAAGGACGGAGGCGCTTTTGCAAGTATTGGTTATAGATTTCGGTCTGACCGTTAGTCTTAAAGTGTGCGGCGATGCTAAAGGTCAGTTTAATGCCGAGGATTTTATTGAATTCTTTTTAAAACTTAAACTAGTATTAAGGTCTTCTATCAAAAGTCAGCGTTAAAAGAGTTTTAAAATACTTATAGATATAGTAGATATAAAGCTTGGCGAAGCTTTTAGCGTCGATAGACTTGTGATAAAGGATCGAAATTGCTTGCTTAAAAAAGCGGTCGATTACTATAAAGACGTTGTCGTAGCCGTGTTTATCTTTATTAAAGTTATAAAAATCTATAATAACGTGCTCTTAAAAGCGCGAAAGGATCGGAAAAGGTTGGAGCAAGCTAAGTTTTTTATCGCGAGGCATTGAAGCTCGTCTGCAAGCGTAGCAGTTGCGGCAGTACTAGTTAACGAATCTGGCTATACCGTGCTAGTAGTATTGTGCTGCAAAAAGCTTATAAGTTTTGCGGAAGCTAAGGTATATCGTAAATACTTGGTCGTAGACTTCTCGGACGAATAACGAGCGCAAGTTTTGGACGTCGAGAACTAATAAGCGGCCGTTATAAAGCAGCAGATCGCTTTTTATAATGAGTTTGGCTCGTGAACCGTGGTTTACGGGTAAGGACTTAGTTTTGAAAGCTTAAATTCGAAGTGCTGTAAAACTAAGGGCGGTCCGATTAGCTTTTAAGACTTGGTTAATAACTCGGAATATAAGTAAAAGCTCCGCGATCTCTTTAATAGTGACGGCGGTTTCCGAAGGCGTAAGTTAGCGTAGCTTTTCGGTCAGGAGTCGTAAGTCAACGTTGTCGGCGCAGAGCAGCGTTTGCAAGCGTTAGGTGCGCTTAAGGTTGTTTTAAGAAAGGAGCTCTTCGGTGCGACGTGTCAGCGCGTCAGCTAAAAGGTTGTCTTTACTTGGCTTGTACGTGATAATAAAGTTATAATCGGAGAAGAGCTTTGCTTAGCGTGCTTGACGGGCGTTGAGGGTCTTAGAGGTTATAAAGTACTTTAAGGCTTTATGGTCGGTGATTACTTGAACTTAGTAAAGGGAGCCGGCGAGTTCGGCGCGGAAGTTATTAAAAGAGCGTATGATGGCTAGCATCTCTTTATCGTGGACGACGTAGTTGAGCTTAGCGGGAGCCATAATTTTAAAATAGTAAGCGACTAGTAGCTAGTCGGGACTATGCTTTTAAGAAAGGATTAAAGCGATTACGCCGTCGGAAGCGTTAGTTTCTAGCATACAAAGGAAGTCTTGGTTGTAATGCTATAAGATTAGCGCAATAGTTAAAGCGAGCTTTAAAAGGTCGAAGCTTCTTTAATATTAAGAATTAAATGAAAAAGGAACGTTAGCTTTAGTCAAGTGCATTAAAGGCTTCGCGATTACGCCGTAGTCTCGAATGAATCGGCGGTAGAAGTTATAAAATCTAAAGAAGCTTTAGACGCTTTTAACGGTCGTAAAGGGCGCTTAATGCTTTACTATCGACGTCTTGTCCGGATCTACTTTTAAGCTTTCGGTAGAAATAATAAAGCTTAAGTATTTTACTTTAGTTGTATTGAATTCGCATTTTTTAATATTAGCTTAAAGGCTAGCGTCGTCGAGTCGTTAAAGGACTTAGCGAACGTGGTGGGCGTGCTTTAAAGGATCGGAGGAATAGATTAAGATATCGTTTAAATATGCCGTGTAAAAAATATTTAAGAAGTCGAAGAAGAAGTCATTTATATAGCGTTAGTAAGTGGCGAGTCTATTAGTCAGTTCGAATAAGAGAACCTTGCACTTGTAAGCACCGTAGCGTGTCTTGAATGTTATGAGCTCTTTTAAAGCTGAATCTATCCGTATTCTATAAAAGGCTTGCCGAATGTCGAGTTTCGTAAAGATTTTAGCTTTTAAAAGACGTGCGAAGGTCTTATCGATTAAAAGGAGAGGGTATCGATCTTTACGAGTGAGGTTGTTTAGCGCGCGGAAGTCAATATAAAAGCGAAAGGAACCGTCTTGCTTCTTAGCAAACAGGATTAGAGTTGCAAATAACGCTATTAAAGGTTCGATAAAACCTTTGTTGAGATTGTCGATAAAGTAAGCTTTAGTAAGCTTTAGCTTAAAGATCGATATCTTGTATAATAGTGAGTATCGAAGCGCTTTCTCTTTCCTTTCGAAAAGCTCGATTTTGTAATCGTAAGGCTTGTGTGGTGCTAGCACGTTGCTAGCGGCTTTAGAGAATACGTGTGCATAATCGAAGTATTCGAGAGGGATAGGAAGGTCGTTAATGAGCTTTGACAGTTCCGTTGCAAGGTTAATAGCAGAGATGGAACCGTTGGTGAAGCGTGTTAGCGATGCTTGGTAGTTAGCTTAAATAAAAGTAATCGTCTAACGCTCGGAGATCAAGCAATCGAGCTCGTAAAAGGACGTAGAGAATAGTTTTACGTCTTTTTAGCGAGCGATTATATAGAAAGCGTATTCGGAGACGCCGTTGATTTTGAGGTTTTTATTGATTTTGTGCTTGGATGTTTAGCGGAAGCGTTTGACGAGTAAAGGAGGTTTTACGGAAACGATATCGGTTGACACAAGCTTATAGTTTATTTAAGACATTGATTTAGCGTAGTTTTTAGAAAAGGTGTTTTTCGTAAAGCGAAGAAGTGACGGCTCTACGAGAGAGTGAATAGAAGAAAGGGGTTCAACGATCTTAGAAAAGGAAGCGGAAAGAGGACGATCTCGAAGAGAAGGAGGTGATTTAGCGATTATTATTACTGCTTGATCCGCTCGTGAACTATAGTTTACGAGTGAATTAGCGTCGTAAGCTCTTTAAAAGCGGTTTAAGGCTCGATCACGCTTGTTAGCGTCGTGTTAATAACGAGCGTTTACTTTACGCTAGTTAAGGTGTGTAATCTTAATAGGTTTAGCGTAAGTAGCGGTCGAAAGGTTAGAACGAGGCTAATAGAGCTTGCGGCGAGCGCAATCAAAGAGAATCTGGTGCTTAGCTAGCTATGCTCGTCCGAGGATCACGCTGTGATTCTTAAGGTTAATGATAAAAAAAAGAGTAAAGGATTAGACGCGCTTATTAACCGTAAGGTTGAGAAGTGCAAAATGTAAGATAATAGCTCTACGAGCTCTATTGTATGACTTGACAAGGAATGGGGCCGGGAGGGGTTAAATCAAAGGTGTGACGACTCGTCCCTTTTGGCCATGCTGGCCTATGCCTCAGGCCTCGCCAAGGCTCCAAGCGAGCCCCTTGGCCACACATGTGTATAGCTTGCTTTCAGACCTGTTCTGGTTCTGTACCTTGATATTCTAAGCATATCACCAACAGTTTGTCTGAGCTTTTCGTGTCGTTATATTATATCAAGGTCAAATTTTTTTTTTTCCGACCTCGAATCGACCTCTCTTTCCGTTCGGCGCGATTCGCTATAGCCTTTCAATTCGAGTCGTTGTACCGCTCTACGCTACAGCCAATTCTTATTGCACCGCTATTACCGCACTCATCGCCTCCATCGAGCGACTTTTATTCGAGCTCTCTTTCCTTTTCTTTCAATCAGACAATTTCTTTGCTACGGCGAGAAGGCCTATTCCGAGCAGCATATTATAAGACTCGACGCACGGCAACCCTCCTCCCAGATTTTTCCTGCTGAACACCAAGTAATTGTTCAATCGACAATACGATACGGATCTCTTTACCGAGCCTTTCTGTTCAAGAGCTTGCACTTGACTGCATTATACTTTCTTCTCTTCTTTCGATGGAACCTTATATTATCGCTATAGCACATTGGCTCCAAGACCTGGCCGATAGCAAACATCAATATACAAGGAACCTCGACCCTTGTACTCGGCAGCTCGTCCGCTTAATCTTTACGCGATATAAGGCTTTTGCTAAACCCCTTTCTTCCCTTTCGACACCTCTATCGGACAAGACTTTATCGATATATAATACTCGTCTCGCTAAGCTTTCCGAGCTGATTTTTCGACATCTTTTAGCCCCTCTTCTTCCGGACATTCAAAAAGATATCCTTGCGATCGTGCAAGATATCAAAAGGATTATAATAAATACGGAAAGCTGCGTGCTGAACGAGGCTCCAAGGATACAAACAATTGCCGATATGATAGAATGGACGGTGGACCGCTTTAGTGGAGAATGATTTTGGTAGCTTGAACGGAATATATACTTATACTCGAGGACGAGTGATCGCTGCGTTGCAACTCCGCTCTTTTTTACGAGAGGGGGGTAGTGTGACGACTCGTCCCTTTTGGCCATGCTGGCCTATGCCTCAGGCCTCGCCAAGGCTCCAAGCGAGCCCCTTGGCCACACATGTATATAGCTTGCTTTCAGACCTGTTCTGGTTCTGTACCTTGATATTCTAAGCACATCACCAACAGTTTGTCTGAGCTCTTCGTGTCGTCACAAAAGGTTTAAGAAAAAAAAAAAGCGATTTGAGTAGCGCTAAGTCAATTAACGCGTACTTATTAGCTCTTAAATCGAGCAAAGCAGATACTTTATACGAAAGGCCATTCTTGGTGAAAGTGACGGGTATAGTCATAGCTTTATCATTAAGGAGCTTCGTAAGGTCGAGGTATCGCATATCTCGAAGCTGGCTTAAGAAGAAGGCTTTGCTTAAGCCTCGACGTTTCCTTTATTGTCGGGAACGTCGGAGTCAGCAAGAAGGAGCTCTTGGTGATCCTCAAGAGCGTCGGAGTAAGGCCCATCGTCCGAGTCATCCGAATAAAGGCTGTATTCAAGTCTAGCGCCGTATTCTATCTCGTTGACTGAGTGGTGGCGAGGGAGCTTCGGCGTATTCGAGTCCTTGCGGGACGATTTAAGGGTTTTGATTACTAACTTAAAGGCGTTTCCGAGAAAAGAGAATTTGTTAGATCGATTAGATCGATCTGCATTAGCGCTAAAGCTGTTAAAGGTTTAGCGCTAAAAGGTAAGGAAGGAGACGGAGGTTGAGCTACCTTGGCGGTTCTCGTAATGAATGATTTGCTTGACCGCTGCTTTTTAAGCCGAGCGGGATTCGTTACGAGCTTTATTGTAAAAGCTCTTTGCGAATTAAGTATTATACTTGGCTTATAAAGCGTCGTAAAGCTTTGCAGACGCGTATTAGCTAGCAGCTAACTGCTGGACGGCGGTTTAAAAGTCTTTGAAAGTTATAGTCTTAGCAAATTCTAAATAAAGCTGGTCGCGCAGCGTCTTAGTGATCTTAGAACGCAAGGCCTTACGTAATCGGTCTTCGTCCTTGATTTCGACGGTAGCAGCAAGCTCCGAGAAAACAAAGTAAAAGTCTTAAAATTGCTAGTTAAGCCTTATATAAAGTTTTTCGAACTCAATTGACGCTTTGGCCTTTTCAGCGAGGTCGTTCAAGAACTCGAAAGCGATTTAGACGAGTTCCGGGGCGGTTACGGGGTTGCTACGATCTATAATTAAAAAGGCTAAAAACAAGTAGGCTATTTTTTCGGTTTGGTTAAAAACGTAGTTTTTGCGCTAGCGTTTTATAAAAAAGTATTTATCGAAAGCTTTTAAGTTATCGAAGACGCGGGCTTGCTAATAGCGTGCTCGGTAGCTTATACCGTTTAAGAGCTTTTGTTCAAGGTTGAGGATCCGCTTAATACAAGCGCGACCTTAAGAAGCTAAGGAGGAGGCTTTAAAGGTCTTGAACTTAGCTAAAGTGCGAAGGTTAGTTAGCTTGTAAAGAAAAGGTGGTTTATCGTCGTCGGCGAAAAGGCGGCGAAGGTTAGCGGTTTTATAAGTAAAAGGAATAGCTTGAGAGACCGAAGGCTTGTATGGTTCTTTGTCTTTGGAATTATCTTCGAAGGAAACTTAAAGAAGCTTTAACGAGCGTTTCGTAATTGGCAAGACCGCTTAGAGCTAGTCCAGTTCTTTTCGAGCTCGACGGGCCTTTTTTTCAGCCCTTTCGGCGAGGGTTTTTTATTCGCTAGCGCTTTTATCGAGCTCTTTGTTGCGGGTTTTCATATCTGCGAAGAGCTTTTTAAGCTCAACGGCCTCTCGTTAAGATTAGAAGAGAGCTTGGTATTGGGCCAAAGCTTCTTCGGGGTTAATAAGAGCCGAAGGATTATCTTCATCGTCTTGCTCATTAATAGCTTCTTCTTAAGTAAAAGGAATTGCTAGTTGGGCCGTGGAAGAGGAGGAGGGAGCTGCTAGAGCAGCTTTAAGAAGTGTGCGAAAGATTTTGCTCGCGGGGCGAAGGTTGCTATATTGTGTGGGTGCCATCCTTCAAGTTGTACTTAAAATAAGCCTTCTCGTAACCGTTAGAGTCGTCTAAATGTTTTTTAACGTCTAATCACTAAGGAATTTTAAAGAGGAGAAATATTATTAAAGCCGTTCCCGGCGGAATAAAGTAGTTATTAATAATATGACGACCTTAAGCGATTACTTAAAAGAACTTACGAGAGCGCAAGAGTTTATATAAGAGCTTAAAAGAATCTCAAAGTAATAACTTAGAATCAATAACTACCGAGTATAGAGGTCGAAGGTAGCTAAGGTCTATATACACGAAAGTAGAAGCGCTAAGGACTCGTAAACCATGGTTTATAAGTCAAAAGCGGAGAATGAAGGAATACGAAGAATACGAAAGGAAAAAGGAGGGAAGTAGCTTGGCGCATATGAGGTGCGTCCAGGAGACCTGGCGTGTCGTCACAGCTTTAACTTTTTTCGATCCTTTCGCGCTTTTAAAAGCACGTTATTATAGATTTTTATAGCTTTAATAAAGACAAATACGGCTACGACAACGTTTTTATAATAATCGACCGCTTTTTTAAGCAAGCAATCTCGATCTTTTATTATAAGTTTATCGACGCTAAAAGCTTCGCTAAGCTTTATATTTATTATATTTATAAGTATTTTAAAGCTCTTTTAATATTGACTTTTAATAAAAGACTTTAATATTAATCCGAGTTTTAAAAAAAATTTAATAAAATCTTCGGTACTAAATTAACCTTTAGCACCGCCGCATATTTTAAAACTAATAGTTAAATCGAAATCTATAACTAGTACTTGTAAAAGCGCTTCCGTCTTTTCGTAAGCTATTATTAAAACGATTAAAGTAAGTTCTTTTTTATAATAAACTTCGCTTAATTAACGCTCTTTTACGACTCTTTCGGCGATCTTTCTTTTTTTAAAGTAATTTACAGTTACGCTTTTCGGACCACTTAAAATTAAACTTTAAAACGACTTAACGATCAAACCTTTTCTCTTAAGCTTAATTAAAACGAAGCTCGCGCTTACGCTAACCGCTATTTCGAAGCTTGAAACTTCGTTAAAAAGCATTTTTAACGCGCTTAAGATCGCATAGCTAAACAAGTTAATAAATCAAAGCGCTCGATTAACTTTAACGTTAATAATAAAGTTTAATTAAATATACGCTCGTTCTTTATCTTTCGACCGTTAAAAAAGCTTAATAATTTTACGAACGGATCGTTCGAAGTTACTAATAACGTTTATAACAGCTTTAAACTCAAGCTCTCCGAGTTAATAAAGGTTCACTCGGTCTTTTATCTCGAACGGCTACGAAAAGCTCTTAATAACTTTATTTTCGAGCAAATCATTTTTAAACTTAACTCGATTAATATTATTAACGAACTTAAGTACGAAGTAAAGAATATCTTAATAGTTTGTTAAATCAAAAAGCATTTTAAATATCGCGCTTTTTAGCTCGGCCGCGATATTAACTTTATTTAATACTTCGCTTTCGACTTTATATACGCTTTTTTTAAAGTACGTGACTTCTATTTAAAACATAAAAAGCTTTTCGGCTTTCTCGCGAAGCTCTTCGAATAGATTAAAGCTTATTCGAACGGTATTAATAATTATAGTTACTTAAGCAATAATAAAGCAATAAATAAACGCTCGAAGACGAGCTTTTTTCGGACGAAAAGGTAGTATAACGATACGCTAAGTCTTTTAAACGCATCTTATATACGCTAAGCTATTTCTTTTTTTTTTCTTTCGTATTTTTCGTATTCTTTTATTTCTCGCTTTTAATCTATGAATTATAATTTACGAGTCTTTAGCGCTTTTACTTTCGTGTATATAAACCTTAGCTACCTTCGACCTTTACATTCGATAATTATTGATTCTAAGTTATTATTTTAAGATTCTCTTATGCTTTTATATAAACCTTCGCGCTTTCGTAAATTCTTTTAAGTAATCGCTTAAGGTCGTCATATAAAGCGCGTTAAC